TGACATATTCACGCGTATTTGCGAGGCGAATTTAGCGAAAATATTAAGGACATCCGAACGCGAGGCAATCGAGAGTTTTTTCCGCCGCGGTATGAGTGGTCGAGTCGAGTGTGCTCAAACAATATTGTTTTATCTTCTCTCTGCACTCGAGTGTCGCCGTATGACACACAAATAAGCACTCGACATACACGTGTATTAACGCTATGCTCGTTCGTGCACGTAATGAGGTTTCGTTTCTCATCGCAAACACACAGTTGCAGATTAGTTTCACGGATGACCTTAGGCGTGGAAATTTCGTATCGCGCGCTCATCTATTTCACGTATACGACGGAATTTATCGTCCGTCCGCTATCAGCTGCGTAATTAGTCTTGATATTAAGTTGTCGCGCAGGTGACAAATGGAGTGAGTGGAGAAAGAAAGGAAATTATCTTATGATATTATTTATTTATCGCTATTAACATGCGAAACGCTTTGTAGGCTGATTATTTTGCACGTTTTCTCATCTTTCACTTATCTCCTGTCGACGTCAATATTCTTATATTTTTTTTCTTTTTTGAATTGACTGACGCGTGTATGTTTAATTGATCGCATTCCGTGCAAGATTGATGCGACATAGAGTTCACTGCATTTATTGAAGATTCCTTTTAACGTTTTGTCGCAATGCATCTTTATACGACGTATATATTTTCGCATGGAAAGATCTTCAAAGATCTTCGCTATACACGTTTCCAATGAAGCGTGATATTTGACGTTCTGTTTGCACAGAAATCAGGCTCCCTCTAAATCGTCCGTGTTGCGCGATTTCTCCTGAAACCCCCACGGACCCGTGATCTGCTCCGGAACTTATATTCGCTTATACTTACTCGCTCACACACGAATCGCGCGTCCCGACGTAAGTTCGCCCCGGCTAAAGTTAGCACGCGGCACGCGGAGCGCGGAGCCGGCGAACGTGTGTCGTTCAATGCACGACGACGGCGGATTTGTTTGTCGCGCGTTTCTATCGGCTTTGTGCGGCCGTTCACTGTCGCGTGATAATCCGTAGCCCTGACGCTCTCTCTCGCATATACGGCGCGCGGGGGAAGGAGAAAAACTCCCGGCTTTTTCTCCTCCCCTCTCTCGCACACCCTTCCTTTTCCCTCACACCTGTTCCCTCGATCGTGCCTCGATCGCGCCGCATTTGCTTCCGCCCGGCGGTGACGACGCCACCCCATAGTTGACTCTCCCCCGTATACTATGCGTAAAACGCGGTCGATATCTACTCGCCGGAGAGGATCGCGTGTGCACCCAGCTGTCTCCGCGAGAGTATCTTCGACGCTTGTCCTGCAGCATTTAATATTGCATTAGTTTCGTTATCCTTGATCTTAAGTGCCAAATGCAATTATCCAACAGACGGTTGTATGAAAATTTAGTATCGGTTATATTTTGCAGTATTCTTGTGCAGGTCCAATTATACAGCTTATGTGGGATTATTCTACTCCTTTTTTAAAGCGAGATTTGCTATCGAAAATTGATTGTTAGAAGTAATTCTGATACTAGAACTATATCTGTAAAAACATCGTCCCTGCTTTTCTATACCGAAGGTCGATATTTCTTTTTTTTTTTTTTTTTTGCGGTGTCGCTATCACAATCTCGAGTATCAGAATCACGTCTCGATACTAGGTTACCGGATATACTCGCGTACGAATTAACGGATTTCGCGACGGTGCAAATCGATGTGAAATTGAAGCTATTATTCGCGCGACAAACGCTTTCACGCCTGGCTTTGTGCAATGTTCCGAGAATTACATGCGGCCTTTCAGAATCCATCGCTGATGTGCGTTTCACGGGAAGCGACGTGTCCACTGTTGAACACGTCAATCGCGGGACGGCCATTCAAGGAAAATCTATGCGGATCCAGTATACGAATCAATGACTCCCACGTGTCTCTGTTTTTCCTCACGTGTCACTCCGCGCCGTATCGCGAGCAGGCAGGCCGCTCGCGCGTCGATATACAGTCCGCTTTTCCCTATTGCGCGAACCTTCCCGCATTCGTCCTCGATCTCTTCCAACAAAACGTATATCATCTAACGTCATTTATTTCTAAGCAGATGACGCCACTTGATAGAATTCTGACCCTATTTTACGAGGCTAAAGGTGCAAATTCATGAGACGCTCGTTTTAGCGTTAGGACCATGGCATACAGAAAAACTTAAGCAAGATGTAAGCAGTAAAGAAATCAACCTGCTGAATTTTTGGTAGTCACGTTACTTCGACGCTAGCGTCAAAAAAGAAGCTGGATTTTCTCAGCTTTAGCGTCAAAGGCTGTTGTTGTTTTGTTTTGAACATTTTAGAAACGAATGATACGATTGACATTAAACTTGATGTTGCCACTTTTTGTGCAAGCCAACTATGATCACGTAATTTTGACGTTAAAAATGAGCGTCGAACGTCAGCATGAAAAGGCACCTTAAAGGTGCAAATTCATGAGACGCTCGTTTTAGCGTTAAAGCTACGGCACACAGAAAAGCTTAATCAAAACTCAGTAAGACGTAAGCAGTAAAGAAATCAACATGTTGAATTTTTGGCAATCACGTGTGACTTCGACTTTGACGCTAGCGTCAAAAAAAGAAGCTGGATTTTCTCAGCTTCAGCGTCAAAGGCTGTTGTTGTTTTGTTCTGAACATTTTAGATATACGAATTATACGATTGACGTTAAACTTGATATTGCCGCTTTTCGTGCAAGCCAACTATGATCACGTAATTTTGATGCCAAAAATGAGCGTCGAGCGTCAGCATGAAAAGGCACCTTTATCGTTTGCAAGGCCGCGAGGCCGAATAAAACGGCTTTATACACGCTACCTGTTAAATAAATTGTTAACATTACTTAAAAATAGATGAAATAAAAAAGGAAAACATATCAGAAAGAAAGTTTAAAGTCAGTACCCGTGTACATGGGTATTGGTAAAAATAAAAAAACGTCTATTATTTGCTAAACAGTAAAGCCTTGGCTTTTCCGTTTCTTTTTATTCGTCACCTCAAATTTAGATTCATCAGATCTTCGCGACGATCCTGAAAGCGCGAATTTTTCATAACTCGATTAGTTATTTTTAAACGCTTTTGCCATTTTAAAACTATTTTTTTTAATGATGCATTTAATTACAGATCTGTACAAGAAGACATACATACTAATCAAGTAGAGGTGTGCGAATCAAGCATTTGCATGGTCGAATCGAATCGAATCGAATTTTTATAGATCGGAAGAGCACACG